TTGGAGACGTTACCTCTATGGGGTCCGCTATACCATCTACATGGACCATAAGAGCTTGAGATACATCATGGATCAGCCGAACCTGAACATGAGACAACGCAGGTGGCTAGATGTAGTCAAGGAATACGACTGTGAGATCCTTTACCATCTAGGTAAAGCGAACGTGGTTACGGACGCACTGAGCCGCAAGTCAGTTGGATCTTCCACTCCAGTGACGTGCATGAGGATTTAAGTGGATTCTCCACTTGTGGGCTTGATCAGGGAAGCCCAGGCAGAGGGTATGCGTCAGGAGAATTGGAATATGTTGAGGATTAAGGGTGAGAACACCCGGTTTGTTCAGGATAACCGGGGATTATTAACCCGTTGCGGTTGGGTATGGGTTCCGATGTATGGTGGGGTCAGACAGACTATATTGGAGGAGGCTCATAAGTCTCGCTTCTCTATTCACCCGGTGGCCACCAAGATGTATCGGGACTTGCGATTGAGTTACTGGTGGCCGTGCATGAAGCAAGAGATCGCTTGGTATGCAGGATGGTCAAGGCTGAGCACCAGAGGCCGCATGGCAAGCTGCAGCCTCTAGAGATTCCCATGTGGAAATGGGAGCAGATCACGATGGATTTCATCACCAAGCTGCCGAGAACGACGAAGGGGTTTGACGCTATTTGGGTCATTGTGGATCGATTGACCAAGAGTGCCCATTTTCTGCCCATTCGGGAGACCTCATCGGCAGAGAAGCTGGCCGGTGTGTATATACGCGAGATCTTCGCTCGTTATGGGGTTCCGGTCTCTATCGTCTCAGATCATGATGTTCGGTTTACCTCCCGATTTTGGCAGAAGTTCCATAAGGAACTGGGCACACGGCTGCACTTCAGTACAACCTATCATCTGCAGATGGACGAACAGAGTGAGAGGACCATACAGACTCTTGAGGACATGTTGAGAGCATGTGTTGTTGACTTCGGTGGGAGTTGAGACTCCTACCTACCCCTTGCATAGTTCTCCTAGAATAACAACTTTTACTTCAGCATTGGTGCTCCATCGTATGAGCTGTTGTATGGACGGAGATGCCGCACCCCAGTCTGTTGGGACGAGGTGGGTCACGGGGTGATGGGTCGGACCGAGGTAGTCCTGTAGACTACCGAGATGATTCAGCAGATTAGACAGCGGTTGCAGACCGCACAGATTCGACAGAAGAGCTACGCCGATCGGCACCGATCTGAGTTGGAGTTTCAGGTTGGTGACATGGTACTCCTGAAGGTCTCACCCTGGAAGGGTGTGATCCGCTTTAGGAAGAGGGGAAAATTGGGTCCCCGATACATTAGACCGTTGCGATTCATTGCCAGGGTTGGCAAGGTGGCATATAGACTCGAGCTACTAGAAGAGCTTAGTCAGATCTACAGCACTTTCCACGTTTCGCAGTTGCAAAAGTGCATTCTGGATGAGGAGGCAGTAGTATCACTGGATGACATTTAGGTCGATAAACACCTGAATTATGTGGAGAGGCCCGTGACCATTCTGGAGAGGAAGGTGAAGGTTCTGCGGAACAAGGAGATACCTTTGGTAAAGGTACAGTGGGAGCATTAGAGAGGATCCGAATGGACTTGGGAGCCGGAGGCTGAGATGCGGGAGCATTACCCAGATTTGTTTGCCGCATCCGACTTCAGGGACGAAGTCTAGTTCAAGTACGGGAGAGTTGTAACACCCCGACTCCCAGGTATATAACTTTACAGTTTTATGTCCATCTCAGAAGATCTACTCGACGAGTTGGTGCCTAGACTCGTCGAGTAGGGATGCTTTTGGCCATATGGCTTAAGTGACCAACTCGGCGAGTCGGTGGACCTGACTCAACGAGTTGGAGCTGGAATGAGAAACCCTAATCCCTGGGGGTTTTCACCCTATTTAAGGGTCACTGGCCCCCTTAGCCTCCCTTACAGCCCCCTTTGTGAGTCCAGAAACCCTAAATAGTTGCTTACACTTCATTTTGGTGTGATATTAAGCTTGGAAGGTGGATTGTGGTGGGAAGAGCTTGAAGTAGAAGAAGTTGGAGCAAAGAGAGGCTGTGGATCCGAGTTCTACTTCATCTCAGCATCATTTTGAAGGTAACAAGTTGTTACATTGGCTCTCCATTAGCTAGATCTCTTGTTTCATGGGTTTAGAACCCTTTTTAGGGTATTATGGTGGTATTTCGAATTTGGGACAAGATCTGAGGTTGCAACTTCAGATCTGGACCCCTTTTGCCCCTTATTGTCATAAAGTCTCAGCCTTTATCAAGCTATGGCCCTTTCATTGTCTTAAACTTCTTCTTTAGCTTGGTTTTGGCTCTTAAGACGTTGCATGCACGTAAAGTTTGCAAGCTTACGTGATAACTAGGCCCTAGGAGGCTAGATCTACCATTTGGAGCTTTGGAATGGCTCAAAAACATCTGGACAAGAAAAGAACTGTATGAACTCGGCGAGTCGGATAAGGAACTCGACGAGTTGGTAAGGGTTTTCCCGGGGTATGGTTTCTGCATGGAATCAACGAGTTAGCAGAGGACTCGACGAGTCAGCTAGGGTTTTCCCCGACTTCCGGACACGCATAGACTCGACGAGTTGGTAGTAAACTCGACGAGTCAGGGAGGGTTTTATGACCTTCTGAACTCTTAAGGAACTCGATGAGTTGCTAGCTGCACTCGATGAGTTGGGTCAACATGGAGTGTTGACCTTGACCGTTGACTTTAACTTGGACCAAAGGTTGACCAGTTTGACCTCTGGGGGTATTTAGGTAATATGGGAATTTATGGAAGGGAGTCACCGGTGGTTGTAGGTGTTGGATTTGGAGCTGCATTTGGAGGAGTTGACCTTAGCACTTCGAGCTACTTGTGAGGTGAGTTATCCTCATTATATCAACAGGGTCTAAGACACCAATGCCGACCCTTATCGGATTTGTATCTGGGTTTATTGCATGACATGCTTATTGATTTACATCCTGGTAGTTAGGATGGTGATATGCTTAGTGACCTGGTTAGGTCGGTATCTTGGTATATATGATGATGCTATGCTTAGTGACCTGGTTCGGTCGGTATCTTGGTATATAGGATGATGCTATGTTAGTGACCGATTAGGTTTGTATCCTGGTTATAGGATGTTGCTATGATTGATGATCTGTTAGATCGGTTTGACTGTTATATATGCTAGCGTATGATATTATGTACACATGTTTATTGATTGGGGGTTGGGTTGAGGCGGTCCTGCTTTGTGCTGAAGGCCAACATACCCATGGCGGTCCGGATAGACTATAGGACCAGAAGGGCATGTTAGTCAGACCGAAGGCCCGACGAGCAGTCCGGATAGGCTGTAGGCCCTGCGAGGCGGTCCAAATGTGCCGAAGGCTCGGAGGGCGGTCTAGATAGGTTGAAGGCTTGCGAGGCGGTCCAGTCAGGATGAAGGCTCATTATGCATGCTGTTCGTTGTTATGTTATTGATATGTTTTATGGCGTTGGTATTTTGGGGGTAACTCACTAAGCCTTCGAGCTTACATTTATCGATTATTGTTTCAAGTATTTCTGATGATCGTGGTAAGGCGAAGGCGTGATCGTACAGCTCCTCACATTTTATGATTTTATGATTTGATTTTGGGATACTCTGACAATATACTATTTTGAAAACAAGTTTTGTAATAATCATGAGTTTTGAAATGATTTTAAAAGTTTAAATTTGACATGATTTTTATGGATATTACAGAGAGAGAGGTCCCCCTCTTTAGTTCTTTTAACTTTTAATATTAAAATTTAAATAAAATAAAAAAATATCTTAGAAAAATGAAAAAACAAATTAAAAGGGCATATTAGTTTTTTCAAGTTTGGACAAATTTCACAATGAAACTAAATGAAAAGGACCACAAAATCATTATTTTGATCAAAATCGGAATAAAATACATACCATAGGGACATTTTTACAGTTTTGTCTAATATATAACTTAAATAAAATTTAATAGTTAAATATGCACGGTGCCTAATTTCGATTTAAACCCTAAAATTAAAAACATTTTACAAAGAGTGTATTGGAAAATGATTTGAATAGTCTAGTGAATAGCCCTAAAATTAAATGGGTGCATTTATTATTATTTTTCTATTTTGGCCGGTTGAGGCCGGGGCCCGGGGGACCAAAAGAAATGTATATATACTACTGGTATACATGTTTTGAAAATAAAAAAAAGGCAGTGAGAGGTGTGACCTTGATTGCAACGAGATTTCCTATCCCCATAGATAGGTCCGCCCTAGGAGATTGCATTGATATATTTCACTCTAAGGCCGTAATAATTTAATACAGTACTTGATTTCTTATGATAATTGACAAGCCGGATTTCAAAAGGTAAAAAACATGCAATTGTGTTGTGTTATTTTTCTAAGAAACAACATGGCATAACAATTTTTTGTTTGTTTATTAACATAAACCTAATAATTTATATATTGGGATTATTTAAATTTGAAGCTAAAGAAAAAAAAAATCTTTAGCATAATGAAATACTTTTGAATTATCCAAAAATGCCCACCAAACAATTAACTAAATTCCAGCCAAAAGTAATATTGTTGATCAAGGTAAGCTACATACTAGCCTACAACTAGTAACGTTTGATGATTGGAGGGGTGGATGTCTACTTGTTTCATAGGGTTCTTAATATGATAACCATATGGATAAAACACCTTTTAATCATTTTAGGGGATAGGGCTCGACTTATTTCATTAAGTTCTAAAAACTCAAACTAAGCATACCACACAAACACAAGTCCACTTTGTTGTTCTTGGGAACCTTCTCTTTTGAACATAAATACAAGCTTCTAACATTGCATTTTCAATTGAACAATCCGAGAAAAGTAAGATCATACACAATTTATATTGTATAAAGGTGGTATCTAATAATAAGATTATATTATAAGGTAAGATTTGGGTTTTTTGCTTACACAGATTATTGGATTACATGATAATATATATAGTATGATGATTAATCAAGTCTTGCAGGATGAATCTTAAAGCCTTACACTACAAGGGCTTCTCGTCATATCAAAATAAGGTATCGTGTATTGTAATTTTTGTCTTTTCAATTTATACATTTTTGTCCTTATGATATAAACTAATTAACCAACATATATATATATATATATATATATATATATATATATATATATATATATATATATATATATATATATATATTCAAACGAAAACGTTGAAATCAAAAACGTGAGAACAAATATTGACCATCCATTTTGAAATATTATTTTGACTAACAAATTTATCAACCAAACAACTTGGCAATGCATGGCCTCAAGCCCTGAATCGCCATAGGCTCTAATTCCCAAGATGACAAACCGCCGTCCTTTGTGCTTGCCATGTGATAAAGTTTTCCCTAAGATATCAAAACATTCCAAGTGTTTTTACACACACGGACATCTCCGACTAACTCACTATTCGACCATATAACAAGTACTTTGTCTTTATTTTTCTCAAGTTTTAGTTTTGGATTCATATATAGGACAAACAATTAGGATACAAACTTTCATAACGAACTCCCCCAAAATCTTCTTAGCAAGAACCCTTTGCTTTAGTGACACATAGTATTTCTTTGTGACAAAACTTCCTTCTTTCGTGACACTTCTTTGAAGTCAATACATGTTTTATGGGTCGTTCACCTCATCAAAAACAAATTCCTTTTGCATGAGTTGAAAAACTAGTGTCCTTTTCGCACCTAAGATAAGCCATTTGCTCACTCTGAGCATCTAATTTCTTTAGATGTGAACTTAAAGTTTTATTATGCATTAAACAAAAAAATCTTTCAAAACATAAAAATTGATATGCTGAAGTCTTATATGACACAACGAATCGGAATCATTACATGTTGATACAAAACACATTGTTTTCCATTCTTAAAAACGTCTTATAGAGAGCATGTTAGACGTGGTTAATTATATATTGACTTTTAATAAATGTGTCAATAAGATGTTTAAGAGGTTGAATGGTGAGTTACACTTATGCAAATATTCATCTTAATAAAAATAAATAATGAAATAACAATAAATTATATCATATATCATGGTATATATATGAATCATTTTTACTTAGGCGAGGATCAATTAAATCCAAAGAAAATCAAGGGATAAGTTAAGGAAAGTCTCGAAATGTTAAGTATTTTATGAAGTTGATCCTTGCTAAAAATGTTAGGAAGTTAACATCTTTTTATCACATTGGTTTCTTCTCCTCTTTTGCTTTAAATATTTTATACGCCATGTTGTTGATTTGATTCAGAATGCAGCAAAACCTATTTAATTAACCTAATTGAAAGTTTATAACTAATTACATGATTTAGTTCTATTAAAAGTCGCTAATTAATACATAGATCTCCCACCCCAAAACAGCTCTCATGTTACAAGTCTACCAACATCAATGTGAACAAAATCTTCAAAAAGTCAAAAACACAGTTTCACCCAGGTTCCACCACCACCACAACAAACCGTTCTTCAAAGATTCGATGCGAGAACTCGTCCCAGGGCTCACGCTTGGGTGAATCTGGGGACGAATTGCATGGAAAATCATGGGGATCAATGGAGGGTATAGTCTGCTGCTCATCAAATTACGTACCTTTATCACCCATTAGCTTCTTGGAGCGAGCAGCCAAGATTTATAGCCACCGGACATCGGTGGTTTATGGGTGTATTAAGTACACATGGGACGAAACGCACCGTAGGTGCGTCAAGCTTGCATCTGCCATTAACCATTTAGGGGTTTCTCGAGGCGACGTCGTAAGTTTTCTTTCTACTCATGTAGTAACCATTAATCATTACTGAAGCTAAAGTTATGGAGTGCAGGTAGCGGCTCTAGCACCAAATGTCCCGGCTATGTTAGAGCTTCATTTCGCAGTTCCCATGGCTGGAGGCATCATTTGCCCTCTCAACAAACGTCTGGATGCAAATATGGTTTCAACCCTTCTCGAACACTCAGAAGCCAAGATCCTCTTCGTCGACTACCAATTATTGCATGTAGCTGAAGAAGCTGTCAATATTCTCAAGAAGATGGATTTAAAACCTCCTCTTATTGTCGTAATATCTGAACAAGACTCCCTGTCTCCCTTGAAACCCACAGGAAAATATGAATACGAATACGAGAGCCTTGTGGAGAGTGGAGTGACTGAATTCTCTATAATCAGACCAAATGACGAATGTGATCCTATCAGTTTAAACTACACATCTGGGACAACATCGAGGCCGAAAGGAGTAGTTTGTAGCCACCGAGGGGCTTATCTTAGCTCCATTGCTGCAGTGTTCATACGTGATATGCGAGAGATGCCTACGTACCTTTGGACGTTGCCTATGTTTCACTGCAATGGATGGTGCTTCACGTGGGGTGTGGCTATCGTTGGTGGCACTAATGTTTGCCTACGACGTTGCGATCCTAAAGATATATTTAATAATATAGTCCTTCACAAGGTGACACATATGGATGGAGCTCCAACTGTGTTGAACATGATTGTGAATGCTCCGATGACTGATCGGAAACCACTTCCACACGAAGTTAAGATCGTAACCGGCGGTGCACCTCCACCTGCGTCAATCATCTCAAAGATAGAGGAGCTAGGGTTTCGTATATCTCATATTTATGGCCTCAGTGAAACGTATGGTCCAGGAACTTTATGTGTGTGGAAGCCCGAGTGGGAAAGGTTGCCTCGTGAAGAACAACTTAAGCTTCAAGCACGACAAGGAGTGAAAACTTTGGTGATGGAGGATGTCGATGTAAAAGATCCTGCAACAATGGAGAGTGTAAAATGTGATGGAAAATCGTTAGGGGAGGTTATGTTTAGAGGGAATGCAGTCATGAGTGGATACTTCAAGGATTTGAGAGCAACCGAAGAGGCTTTTGCCGGAGGATGGTTTCGAAGTGGTGATCTTGCCGTTAAACATCCCGACGGGAATATAGAAGTAAAGGATAGGTCCAAAGATATTATAATCTCCGGTGGTGAAAATATATGCACGATCGAGGTGGAAACTGTGATTTATAGCCATCCTGCAGTTCTGGAGGTTGCTGTGGTTGCACGTCCCGACGATCATTGGGGTCAAACTCCCTGTGCCTTTGTGAAGTTGAAGAAAGGTGTTGATGTTGATGCTCAAGAAATTATTCAGTATTGTCGAGATCGCATGCCACATTATATGGCACCTCGAACTGTTATTTTTGACGATTTGCCAAGAAATGCGACTGGTAAGGTACAGAAGTTTGTGTTGAGGGAGAAGGCAAAGCTTATGGGCAGCCTTTCTGACCGGAAAGTATAAACCTCATTTCCAAGTTTTCATCAAATGTATGAGTGATTCTATCCATGACTTGGGTAGCGTCAAAAATCAAATAATAATGATAAATATTATGTCGTCTATATATGTACGCTTTACATAACATGCATGTTTAGAAATTAATATGGTTATTTTTAGTATATATTTATCAATCTTGGAATCAAAATTGGGTAAGTCTATCTATATTCTAACAACACCCTAATTATTATATTAATTTTAATTTAAATGATTAAAATGATTAAGTAAGAATTTAACCTAATGATTATCTTTTTCCTTATAATTATTAGCTAATAATAAGACCGTCCGAAATGCTTATTACGAACGCGTTCATGGTCTACGTGACCACGAACCACGACCATGCACACCATCCCGCTTCTCCGACTGTTTCTCACGCTTTTCTGACTGTTTCTCACGATCCCACGATGTGCATGCTTCTCAGTCTGTTTCTCACGCTCCGACGACGTTAATTGCATCTCTCTTCTTGATCTGGTCAGTATTGTTAATGACTGTAAACGATGGTTGAAGGTGGCCGTTCGTTGGTTGAAGGTTACCGCCAGTTAGTGGTTGCCGATAGTTTGGTTCTCCATCTCTCTTTCTTTCGTTTTGTCTTCGATGGAAATGTTTGTTGAAGGTGGTAGTTCGTTGGTCGAAGGTTACCACCGGCTAGTGGTTGCATAGGTTTGGTTCTCTATCGGCGGCATCAGTTGTTCGATGGTTCAAGGTGGTGTTAAAGAACATATTTTCTTTGATTATTGTTAATGCATTGCTTAATCTATGCTGTTATTTCTCCTTATATAAAATATTGTGGTTTATTGGTTGCTTAAATGGATTTAATGGTGTTTATGTTCAATGCAATTATAATTTGTATTTTGTTCATAATCTTACAATTTAGTGTTTTTAAAATAAGGGGATATGATTTGGGTAATTACCTTTTCATTTTGTTCACATATGAGTAACTTCATTTTTTTTGTACTCATCTAGGTAACAAACTTGTTCGAAGTGTTCACATATGACCATTATGACCGACTGTAGCAAGTTACAACCGTTTATAACTGTTTATTAGTATCATAACGGTTATTAAATTTGGAAAAATTAATAGTCTTTATATAGTTTTGACTGGCAGTGAGAGAATAATATAAAAGTAATTATTAATAATTTACACAGATTGGTTATTTGTGAAAGTGGCGACCTTGATGAAATTGTTGTAGGTTGCAAATTTGGTTGTAGGACGTTATGGGATGATGAGTTTGAATGTAGAAGTTATTTTCTTAAAAAAGTATGATAAAGGTGGATGAAATGAAAATATATTAGACATTAAATATGAAATTTAACGGGAATATATATTACATAAAAAGAAAATCAATAAATTATATGTATTGAACATCTAATGATAATATTAAATTAAAAGTTTACCGTTTGTGATGTTCGACAATGGTGGGCATGGCAATGTTTTTGATTTGGTTCTTCCATTGTTGGTATTCATATATGTTGTATACTGTATAATGTAAGATGAGGTACATAACGTTGGAAAGAAGAGTAAATGCATAAATGAATATCATAACATACCATAAAAAATGATTATACAAAGAATGGAATTAAAGGATATTGTTAAAGATAATAACGAATTAAAGTTGGTTAACAAATACATAAATATAATTGGAAAACATGTGTTGTGATTTTATGTTAAATAAAAATATGTATCAAAAATAGATGAATTAAATCATTTTTAATAAGATTAAATTAAATGATGGTTTCTAAATTGATAAGGGTACATGATTTTGAAAAGATTTAAAGATAATATTTCCTTATTAAACGATATAATCATAAATGTCTGGATTCTATATATTGAAATATGATAAATATACATATAATTATTTTGGAAAGTGTTTATGATTGACGGTATAATTGGAATGAAATTTGCATAAATAAGAATATAAGATTCATGAAAGAAATTAAAATTTGTAAAGTATGTGCTTATGTTGACAGTTATACCATTGGTCATAAGAAAATTATCTTTAAACTTAAAATAAATTGACAATAATAGATTTGGTCAACATAGTTTGTTATTTAAACTTAAAACAAATTGACAATAATAGACTTGATCAACATAGTTTGTTACGAACAATAAAAAAAATTATTGTTATAAAATCTTGTTTGTAGAATAACAAACTCGGTGGCTTAAGCCAAAAATTAAGGAGATTACCTTTAAACTTAAAACAAATTGACAATAATAGACTTGGTCAACATAGTTTGTTATTTAAACTTAAAACAAATTGACAATAATAGACTTGGTCAACATAGTTTATTACGAACAATAAAAAAAATTATTGTTATAAAATCTTGTTTGTGGAATAACAATAATAATAATATGGTAAATCTGCCATATAAATTTAACACACATGCATTACTTAAGCCACACCACAATTCCATATCATTAATCCAAAAATGAGTAATGCTTTTTGTAATCACACATATTTTCCTTTTTTTTTTCAATGTATTCTATCATTTGGAGTAGTGGGGACAACAACTTCAATCGTCTCCATGCCTTTCCTTTTTTTTTTCTTGCAGTTTTTTTTAATCTTCTTTAGAGAATTTGCACATTCCAGATTATCTACAAAGACTTAAAAGACATATTATATTATGTAATGTAACCATACAAATGAAACAATGCCTTAATGGGAAAAAAAAAGAAACAGGGGTATTTTAGTCAAAAAGTTGCAGATGGCAATGGAAGTTTCCAAAGTTTTTTTTTATCAAACAACTAATATGCATCATAAATAAATCTATATTAAAGTTCAAATGGAAGCTACAAAAACCCAAAGCAATTAATTTCATAAAAAAAATTCCTAATAAGAACTAAAACTTTAAAACTCGTAATAATTGCAAAACTAACCATACATCAGAATATCAGAAGGCAATTTCAAAAAAGTTAATTTCAAATTCAGATTCATTCAGGTATGATTTTTAATTTTCTGGCAACAGATAGGGATACATTAGGCAATATCAATCGAAATTTTTATTAGCAAAATCAACAGAAGATACAGTAGGCAATATCAGTGACATTTGAATTAGCAAAATCAATAGAAGATAAAGCAGGCAAGATCGATAACATTTTTTATTAGCAGAATTGAGACAAAAAAAATTAAAAAGCATGCGTACATTGAGAAGAAGAAAAGCGCACTGGGAATAATCTTTGGCAGTCAATCTCAATTTCAAGTTGTTGGTCACAAACACGACGTAGGAGATGCATTGATGGAGAAGATAAGTGGGTCGTTATATATAATAAGATGACTTAATGATCATTGATTTTGAGGAGAAAGAACATGGATAGAAATTGGAGAGATCATCAGCTCTTGATATTATCTTCATCAGAGAGATAAATAGGAAGAGAGCAATCCGTATTTTGGAGGAAAAATGGTTTTAGACGGTAACAAAAGGCGTATTTGTAATTCCCTTTTGTTATGATGACATCAGCGAAATTGATCTAGTGGTTTAAAATAATCAATAAAAAACATTGAAGGGGCCATATTGTTTTAGGTGATGTAATTAAGTTTCTGGTTTAATATATATATATATATATATATATATATATATATATATATATATATATATATATATATATATATATATATATGGGAAAAGGGAATATACATTACAACCCCACCTAAGCTTAGCTACTAAACCTCTTGAAAATACATTGTTTTACTATATAAAGATCACGGTTAATGGATTCACGATTAATACTTCAAGATGTAAATTCAAGATCGACACAATAGGATTTAGGGTTTAGGGTTTAGGGTTTAGGTTTAGGGTTTAGGGTTTAGGTTTAGGGTTTAGGGTTTAGATTTAGGGTTTAGGGTTTAGGTTTAGGGTTTAGGGTTTAGGTTTAGGTTTAGGGTTTAGGGTTTAGATTTAGGGTTTAGGGTTTAGGTTTAGGGTTTTGGGTTTAAATTTAGGGTTTAGGGTTTAGGTTTAGGGTTTAGTAATGTTCACTTGAGTGAAGTAATAAAAGATAATTGAAGAAAGAAAACAGAAATGGTAAAACGATAATGAAAGAAAGAAATGTTATGGAGGATGATATATTAACCAAGTGAAACCAAATCGGGTATATTTAGCATGTTAAAACGACATATTTTAGAGGTTTAGTACCTAAGCTTAGGTGAGGCTGTAATGTATATTCCCTATCCTATATATATATATATATATATATATATATATATATATATAGATTTTGTAATATTTAGGTTGTGTTAATTACTTTGTTTTACACTAGCCGAGAGTATATAGGAAGTGATTTTGTAGTGAATTTCAGGTTGTAAATTGTTTTGAATAACTGGTTAACATTAATAAAAAGAACTATACAAGTATTGTGTATGTATGTATGTTTTTTTATGATAAAATTTATAGCTATTATTTTTATTTAGTTAGTTATGTGTGTTTGTTTTCGGTGAGTTTGGCGAAAGATATAGAACAAATCATATAAAATCAATGTAGTCTTTTATTTTTTCAATAAATTAAACATCAATTCATAGAATTTTTTATGATTTAACTTCAAAATCTTGGATTTTAGTTTGAAATGCAACGAATGGGTTTAGTAGGTAACTTTGCTGATGTGACAAATTTTATTAAAAAAAAGATTTAATTTATGATGTGATGTTAGAAAAATTATTTTTGTTTATTAATTATATATATATATATATTAAAATTATCCTACCTTAGCTACAGTAATCTTCCTTCACTTTGGGCAAAACTGGTCCCGTGAGTATGGGTGATGTTGCAATTCTATCTATTTTCTTTTACCTTCCAATTTTGCCACGATACTTTGGGCAAAACTGGTCCCTATATTTTGCTGTGTTTGTCTGTTTAGTATTTTCTTACATTCCTCATTTCTGTCATTGTTGGTCCTTATATTTTCTTATTGTGTTCATTTCTGTCAAAGGGGTTTCTTTTCATTTTAACCCCTGGACTTTTTGTGTTTATGGGTTTTGTCAAATTTGATCTCTGGTCAAATAATATATGCATCCTGCTCACTATATGGTCAATGGTGGTGGCT